TAAAATTGTATTTGTATTTGTATGTTTTACTCTTTAAAAATGTATAACTAATAAAGATTACTTTAAAAAAAATCAATGCACCTTAAGAGATCCAATTTGGTATACTTATTTAAGATGTTGGACTAGAAGCAAGGAAATTGTGAAAGCCAGTGTGTCTGTCTGTCTCTCCCTCCATCCCTCTCTTTCTCGGACTTAGGAAGAAGACAATGGCAAGCAACTTCTCAAAGTGCTTTGATTTTTTTCCCCATTTACCAGGGATCAACTCTGACTTGCAAGACAAAACAAGCACACACAGAAATAAGCACTCTAGCCAAGGGTAAATCTCCAGTTTTCTCCCATCATTTTCTCCTGAATAAGAAAAGGAAATTTCAATATATAATCTCAAAACAATGACCTAATCTGGGAGATATTTTATTTGCTCAAAAACATTTTAGTTGCATGCAAACTTAACTGTTCCAAGTGAACATTCTTGAGAATATTGAACATTCTATTTTTCCTCCTGATGATACTTGTTTGGAACATCCAGATATTTTGTTCTACAAATGTTTTATTCACAGAAAAGCAGGTTTTGCACATCTCTATCACACTCATTTTTTAAAGTCACTATGCAATTATGTTTATTGATATGTATGGTAATCAGTAGAATTAATCCATGTTGAAATGATGTACAGTACTCTAAATAATTTAAGAACAAACCTTTTCAGGCTGAGAAAATGTTCCTGCATTGCAAGGTGTTCTTGGATCCCATAACTTGACTGTTTGATCCCAACTTCCTGTTACCATTACATTCACTTCTGGACAATATTCAACACATCTTATAGGCGCATCGTGACTGCCAACAAGATTTTCTGTTTGGGGAAAAAAAATAATGTATTTAGCTTTACTAGATTCAGGGATAGTGAAATGTAATAAAAGGATTAAGGCAATATTCACACACAAGTATCAAGGTTTGACAGGCCATTCATTAATCTATGTAGATGCTGGGACATCCTTTAAAGAATGCTTGATCCTCTAATCTTTGTAACAGATATACGCTCCTGAAGTGTTAAATGTAGACTAATAGGTATCAACTCACTATTTCAAAGGAGCTTAGCAGGGAAGTTGGTGCCCATGCAGAGACTTTCAAATGAATAAAAGAGATTTATGCACCTAACTGCTGGACACAACTGAAAATTCTAGTCATGAACGGCTTATCAGGAAGATTTAATAATTGGTGAATATAACATGACAGCATTAGTGCATGCCTTTACCGCTATTTAAGATACAAAACAATTTCAACGAACCATTGTCAATAAGCTCTTCTTCCTACATTACTATTCATTTTATCAACACAGTAGTATTAAACTGTTTAGAAGCTTTTACAGTGATGTTTAATACAATTTTTAGTTTAAAATCTTTTATTGCTTTAAATAGCTTTTTCCTTCAAAGTTGCGGCTGAGCTTTCCAACATCTTCAATTTCTACAAACATCCTATGGAAAGTTTTTATTAATTTATGTCGTAGCATCTCATTTCATTCAGCTAGTCTACTTCCAAATATCTAAGTGCCTGACAATAGATCTCAATAGCACAGGTAAAAACAAATTTAAATAAATAAAGTTTTTAAAATAATGATGGCCACTGGAAGATACTCTTAACAAGCTACATATTTTGCAATTATACACTATACTCATGTATCAGAAACTTAGTAAACTGCTTTCTTCAGATTACACCATTAGCCTCCAATTTTTTTTAAAAAAATGAGAAAATCTCTCATGAAATTTTTTCACAGAAAAAGTCAACCAAATATAAAGTTCACTTTAAAAAAAATATTTGAAAGTTTCTCTTTGTTTTAACTGAAAGAAGTTTCAGGAACAATTTAGCATAATTTGGAATAAGAAACTGTCAAATACTGGGGTACAGATGGACATGGTATTTCAGTAATTTATAGATGTCTTTTCTCCACAATCTCAGCAAATAGAATATTGCAAGAAGGAAGCCTATGACATTAAATTGCCATGAATACAACCTAGAAAAAAGAGAATAAGTGAAACAATCACTGTCTACAGTATGAGAGATAATATTGGTTGTCACCTCCCCGTGTTTTGTTAGACAAATTAATAAGATAGTGTTTAAATTAAAAAAAATTACACTGCAGCTGATTTTAAAAAGAAAAAATAAAACATTTTCTATCAGAAACATCTATAGCAATAATGTACAAAATTTGATCAGAATTTTCTATTTTGTTGAATTATATTGAAGTCCCATATGTTGACTCAGAAATAAGTTCCAAGGAATGTATGAAAGTTTATTCTCAGATAATAAGTAATGGCTTGGTGCCCACATGGTTCAGCTATTCAAGCATATTCTGTTTTCTGACTGCAGGCTTTATACACTATCAGGTGAGTTTACCTTGATCAGTGTTCAAGTCATGCATTTTCAGCTGCCGATCTAATCCTCCACTCCAGGCATGTGTTGGGTCCTTCAAAACAAACAAAAGTAATCACATGTTGTATAATTGAAGAATAAACACGGTAAAAGCCACTTTTTCCTCCAATGATATATATAAATCTGTAAAGCATATAAATGTTGCATACATGTGAAATTAGCAGGTTGCTGTGATTGGGTTCCCGTGTTATTTTATGGTAATGCCATCAGGACACAAAAGCAGAAAACATCAGGAAATTTATGCGGGGCCCTCACAGTATATGAGGAAGGAATAGTAGCTCAACTTACTAGAGATGAGTTTATTTTTAATCAGCGGCCCAAGCACATAGAAAAATAAAGATTAAAATGTAAGCTCTCATTCAACACTTTATCAACAATATTAATTGTATTAAAGTCTATCCATCTTTGTGTCAAGAGTCATCATTTCAGGATAAAGTGCTCTACAGATCTCATGGCTTTGATTCTGTTGAAATTTTGAACTGTTTTGCCTTTTTCTTCCCCTTACTGATAAAGCACGTTGCCCGATTAAAGGTTCTGGAAAACTTAAAACAATTATCCACTATTTATGTAATTTGGGCTACTTCTACTGAAGTATCATCAGTAAACTACATTTCAGAGGTTTTCCTCCCATGGCTAACTTTGCTTTGTATATATCAAGATTATCATATTCTAAAAATAATTTAGCTTAACCAAAGAGGCAACAATTATATGAGAAAGAACAAATTATTAGTTATGAAAAGTAACATGAAAGATGATTTCTGACTTAGATGTCCATTCAAAATTTGGCCAGGCCAATTTTGACTAGTTACCTGTCATTAATTCAATTTTATTTTGATTTATTGTATTGTATCTTGACTTATTTCAAAATCTTCAATTCAACAAGCCAATTATCTGGGAGTCACTTCAAGATGCAAAGTAAAAGAGAAGATTAGAAATAAGGCTATTCCATCGCCCCTATTAAAATGAGCTCTCTTAATCATCCTTCAACAGTCACCTAGCAACAACCATTCCAACATGCAACACAATTAAAGAACAAGGGGAAAAATATTCCAGCACCTCTGAAAAACAATCTGCATTGTGTTCTTGCTCAACTATCAATTAGCTAACAGTAAAGTTGCCAGGCTGAAAAAGAAAAGGTCAGGAACAGATCTAGATTTCAGTTTTTAGCCCTTTTAAATTGTGGCACTCACTCTTCCTGCTGCCTAGACTTTTAGGATTGAACCAGGAAAAAAATTGAACATTGTGGCAACTAATATGAAGAACTTTGTTTTTCTCCTCCAACTTTTCGTCCTTGTTCTTCATGTCTTTTAGATAGTTGCCATCTTCGAGTTTACAAAATCACTTTTGTTATTTATAATCAGCCTGGAACTTGTCTTTTTTCAAGTCCCCAAATTACAAAAAAAAAGTTTGCTTCTATTATTGTAAAATATCTAAACTCATTTGAATATGGCACTATACATATATAAAAAGATCATAACTATACCAATACATAACAAACTTGGTTCATATTTTCACCAATTAATTGAAGGTCTGGATAAAGAGTAGCCCATGTAGAAATACAAAGATTTTTGACAATAATATAGACTATTTCCAGAAAGGAAGAGCTAACAAGTCCACATATGTGCAAAACACTAACATGTTTCAGAATTCTGTCCAGCACAAAGTTCTGGTCACATATTAGATTAGCTAAGTATTTCCTTCATATTTTCTTGGTATTTTCAAATTTCAAAACATGAAAAAACTTACATAAAAAGCACAGTCAAGTACTGCTCCAGTGTGTTGATATTTGAGTCTCATTGTATTAGCAGGAACATCATACAATCGAACAGTTGTATCCCAAGAAGAAACTAGCAGAAACTGAGAGGTGTTTGGGTTGAATTTCACTGATGAGATTCCATCTTCTGGTGGTTGGTTCAGCTTAAATTCATTTGATCCAGTCATCTGATAAGATTGTGCAAAATTAGATGTGTACCTTTAAATTATTGCTTAAACTTTCTAGATAAACATGTTTGGAAGTTCAATTACTATTGATTTAGTCATTTAATTATAAAATTCTTAACTGTATAATACTGCAACATGTGCCTGCACAGTATGAATTTAATTGAAGAACTTTGTAGTATTACCATTATATTTCTTGTTCATTTTTATGAGTGTAATTTCACATTATGCATATTTGTGGCAGTGGAGTCATTGGTGTTCCAGGAGGTGGGTGGTTTGCTTGCACATGATTCACCATACAACTAGGTAACACTATCAGTGACACTAATATGCATGCCAGTGGCACAGATGATATCTAATTGAATAATGAAATATCTGCAAGAAAGCACCAAGGACTCCATACAGTTCAACGCTGAGCTACATATATTATCTTTCATTGGTATATGTGTGGCATTTATATGTTGTAAAACCATGTTGTGGTTTAAACTAAAAAAAGAAAAAGTATTCTAGCCATAAAGAAGTTTCATTGCTTTTTTAAATCTTATATTACTCAAAACTATATCAATTTTTTAAAAGATAAATATGTTATCATTGAAATTACGTCTACCTAAAAATATTATATAAAAATAGTCAGTATTATCCTACACTAGGGGTCTCAAACCCAATTGCATTGCATTGANGAGCCGGTGAGATTTGAACCGCCGAACTGCAGAACTGCAGTCAGCTGAAGTAGCCTGCAGTGCTGCACTCTAACCACTGCGCCACCTTGGCTCTTCAAATGGCATTACACTCTGCACATTTCTCCCCTCAATTTAATATGCTGCAAATGTTCAGGAACTGCAGTTATGGCCAATTAAAACAAGTTCGGGGGCTAAATACCGGTCCAAGACTTCACAATATCCCATTTTCAATTTTAAAAAAAAAGATCATAAAATGGTTCAGGGCTTGTTGGAGAAATCCAAGTTCCAAGCTACCCCTCAGACATAGAAACTCATCACATAACTCTGGACAAGTCAAGTTGCTGAACAGAGCAGTTGTTGTGGAAGAAAAATAAATAGAAACCTGTGTATGCTGCTTAGCTACCAAATAAATAATAAAATGGATGAAGTATTGCATATGAAACCAGGATAACTACCCATACAAACTAGTTCCGAATATCTACTACAAGTCATACAGTAAGAAAACAATTACCTGTAGCAAATGTGTTGTGGACATTATGAAAAGAGATGGCATTGACAGGGTAAATCTGCTCGATGTTATTCTCCTTCAATCTGTGGCATTTGAAAGCATATTTTTTCTTCTGCACCTCCAAACTTGGGTCCAAATATTCAACTGCAACCCGACCTTCTATGGAGCTCAACACATAACCCTATCAAATGCACAAAGGTCCTTTAGTTATTACAAACAGTTGCGTAAGGTTTTCTTTTGTGTAAATACGTCTATCACATTCTACATTTGTGCCCTTCAAAATGAATCATGTACTGTGGAATAAAAGATTCCAAAGATAATTGGAAATAATTTCCTACTTCATGTCTACTGAGAAAAATTAATTCAGAAATCTTGGAAACAGAAATACATCCCACACCTTTTCAGAAATGAATTGCCATCAAAAATACTTCATTGGGAACATGTTTGCCCACAAGTAATACATGAAATTAATTCTTTCACTGCATTAAAAAAGAAATCTACTTCTAGGACTCCTTACTATTTTTTAATCGAGAGCACAATTTGTTTCCTTTTTTCTTCTACCACAAGAATAGAAAATAATGCTTGCACTGAATCCCATAAAAAAGTAATAGTACAGTAACTGAAATAAAGACTCTCGTTTCAAAATTAATTTTCTTCAGTGTTGACAGGTCCAGGAAAAAAAACAATCTAGAAAGGGCTCCTAAGCAAATATATTTTCTGAAAGCCTAACTTTTAGAAAAATAAAACCATATTAAGCATGGTACTGTTGTAATATTTCCTGTACATTAATTGAACTGAATTTCCATACACTAGAATTGATTCATCAAATTTGATTGACTAGCTTCAAAATGACATGCCTAGACACAAACAAAAATAGCAAAATTCCAAAGTTTTAATAAGCCAGGAGACAGCTAAAGTAACAACGGCTTGTTTCATTCCACCAACTTAAATCTGCTACACAAGTTAAATACCTGTTTGTTGGGAAATGCCCTGATGCAACGGGTCTGATATTTAAGACTTGATTCTCTTCTCTGCTGAACATAGCCCATGTTCCGTAAGTCCCACACCAGAACTCTTCGACCAGCTGTTCCCACTATCAATCTGTCACCAGATACAGACAACGTATATACCTTGAAAAAAGATGTAGAATATTGCATTAGTATATGGGGCTGCTAAAGTTTGATAGACCAAGAATCGAGACCTTGTATTTCAAAGATATTACATATCTGCTTTCCAAATAGCCCAAAGAGGAAAATACCAGTCCTCTATTTACAACCACAAGGGAGCCCAAATTTAAGTTGGTGGAATGAAACATGCCGTTGTTACTTTAGCTGTCTCCTGGCTTATTAAAACTTTGGAATTTTGCTATTTTTGTTTGTGTCTAGGCATGTCGTTTTGAAGCTAGTCAATCA